CTATCGTTTTACTTCCCCTCCACAGTGTTGGTCAGCGGCAGTTGGTGTGTTTAGCGCGTGCGCTGCTCCGTAAAAGTAAGGTCCTGGTTCTCGATGAAGCCACGGCCGCGGTGGACCTGGAAACTGATGAACTCATTCAACAGACAATTCGTCGTGAGTTCTCTGACCGCACAGTGTTCACCATTGCGCATAGGCTCAACACCATCATGGACTATACCAGGTTTGTATTTGAACTGACCTCGACAGTTCAACATTTTTGCGTGTGTGTTGTTTGTTTTTGTTAGTTGTTTATTTTGTTAACTGGTACAAGTGGAATGAAACTTACGCCAATTTTTGAGAGCGCGTGTTCTATGCCCTTGGCTTGGTGTCATAAGCAGAGCTTTCCTGATGTAGTGTTGACTTGGTCATTTTTTTAGGATCATGGTTTTGGACAAAGGTTTCGTGGTGGAGTTTGACAGTCCTGAAAACCTGTTGGCTCAGCGAGGGATATTCTACAGCATGGCTCAAGACGCTGGATTAGCCTAATTCTTTTATTTTGATCCATCTATTCCTGTATTATTAGGGCTGTTTTAGTACTAGGTTTGAACTGAAACCAATTAGGGATGCAATTAGGGTGCCCACAAATACTGCAATAATAGGCTAGTTAGAAATCGAAACAACACATTTGGTTTTTCTTTAGTATCTGATTCTATCACAGTACATCTCTTGATTTTATCAGTAGAGCACTTTCAGCAAGTTTAGCAAACTGATCCCAATTACCCTTTATCCTGAAATGTCAACCGTTGAGTAAACATCGAGGAAACCTTTGTCATTTAAGCCCAAAACTCGTCGAGAAGTTGCTTTGTTTCAAGAAGAGGATGATTGATTTCTATACTGCTAGATCCACTTACAAGCAAGGTCGATCATAATTCGGCCATTTGGCCAATCCAAGTAGTTCGTAGTTTACGTGCATACGAGGGAGGCGAAGCGACTGTTCGTATTTGAGCATGCTTGGGGTAACTTCTTGATGTTTTTGGACAAGAGAAACTACTCGTATGGTGCCCCTCGACACCCAGGAGTATAGTTGGGTACTAGCGATCTTTTAGCCCAAGGGCAACCTCGTAAAATATTCTGAGGACGCACGTGTGGGGGGAGGGGGTACCTGTAATGGACCAGCTTTCCTCCGAGAATGGAAGAAGGGAGGGGTAGTTTGGGGTCCTTTGGGGGGATGTGACAATACCAAAGTCGCTAATCATGCAACGGTACCGGAGTAAGTACCGGCTCAGTAGGTCGGTTTGTCCCAGTTCACTTGCATGTTCTATCATACACTCGTTTGTTACCTATCCAAGACTGTGAAGTATGATATCATTTTGAACAAGTTATTCATATCGGTTCATGTCGTATTTAATTGGTATGATAAAATAACTATTGCAGTCTAGGGGAAATAGTGAAAGGTTGTATAGTTTGGTTAAAATTACCGGAGAAACGTACTATAGCACTTGCAAGATAACTTAGCACGAACATTTTAAACAGTAAAACTCACTTTGCACAGCTAAAATAAATACAACACACTTTTTACCTGCAAGAGTTTGTAAAGTATTTAATGTCATTTCCTTATGACACTTACTTTATTTTATATCGGTACACCTAAGTTCTTAATACTAATTGTAGCCTAGAAAAAGAATTGTGAAGTTTTGTATAGTTTAGTTAGAAACGCGGGGGAACATATTATAGCACTTATAAGGTATAAGCACTAAACACTGTTAGGGTTATTTACTCAATAGGCCAAGACTATTGTTTCTACAGTGCAATAAAAAAAAAATCACGGAGCCAAATTTGTACTGAATTGATTTGTTTTTCTTCTGCGCTCTTTCAGGTGACAAATGGGATGAACTTTTTTATATATTATTTCTATTTATATTATATTTCTATTTATTTTTTATATTGAAAGCTGTGGATAATTGAGAAAGCCCAAACAACCAGTTGAAGTTACTTACGACCTGCAAGTAATACTAACACAAGCATAGCAAGTTTGCATGAAAAAGGTGCAAGCCATTGTTTTGGCCTGTTCATTGTGTATGAGGCCTTTGGGAGTCCATTCGGAAGACACAAGGTACATGTACAAATCAATTATCGCGCGCATTACTAGGCAAAGTAGAGGTACATTTGAGCAACGAACTGTACATGATTTTTATTTTGGATCCTCGATGTTGCAGGTCAAAACAGACTACACTGAAGGGGAAATACTTAGAATCAAGCGAAAAAATGCACTTAACAAGTTATTAGGACGGTGTCTTGTAAATCCAACGACATTCACCATGACACCATGACATTCACCTATTCAAGTGTGGATAATGAAAGCAACTAATTTGCGTGAAGCTACTTAAACTCATTAACAAGTCTGTTTCACGTATATGCGAAGCAATTACTCTGTAAGAGAGTGCAAATAAGATATTGCAACATTTATTCAGAGTAAAGTTTGCTTGGGATAACAGAGTTAAAATAAAGACAAGTCAATACTGCGATTTGCCGAGCCAGGCCCTAAACCACCTGTCCTGAGTGATGGCACATGTGTATTATGGTCTCCAAACCAAGAACATCTTGACAAAAGAAACGATCGACGTGTATAACATTACAGGTAAGGTGAATGAGCAACGTTTGTTTAAGACAGGTATGCAAGACCATAATCTGCCGATGTGACTTGTTTGTGAGAAGGTTTTGTCAGCAGAGATATTCCAGTCCATTCAAACCTATTTCCCAGTTTTGGTGTTGCATTGGTCTCCATGTCTTAAACGAAGAGGCACGACAAGACGGGATTCGGTTACGAAAGAGTGCAATCTTTTTGGAAATAACATTAAAAACAAAAATAGCAGTCGATTTGCAGCTGGTATTCATTGTTCATTCTTTTGTTCGATTGCTCGCATGCTTACTCTTGTTGCATATGTCAAAGTCCACTTTTCTTAGGGTCGCATGTCATTATAATTATCCCTAATTTTATTCAAGCAAATGCATTTCATATTCAAGCCTAGTACAATCCCGCAGTTCAATTATACACGCGCTGTAGTTCCGAAAACTTGGCTTGTCAGTTCAATGTTTGTTATCAGATACACGTGGGTAATTTCAGTCAATGTCGTAAGACCGGTCAGACTGGCCGATACATAGATATACCAAAAATAAAGTTATGCTCAGACCATGGGTTAATTTACTATATTAGCGATATTATTGACTGATGTAAGTGAAGTGTTCTGAGCACAAAACTTGGTAGCTCATTTTCCGGGAGTGTCCGACGAATGAGTCGTTTAACAAAACGATAGGTTTTGTGCTCAAAATGATATTCGGTGTCGTTTCAGGACGAAAGCTATAAATAAATGTTGTTAGTCTAGAAACAAGTATGTTGTTTATACCTCAAATACTTGTTAACCCAGTCTAGTTAATCGAATTCTCATCGTAGTTCGAGCATGTAATGTGGTGACACGTGACCTAGCTAACAACACGTACGCAGGCAAAGCTATACTATGTGTATACTTAGTTGTAAGTCCAAGCCCAACGAGAAATAAAAGGGTTAAAACTATCAGTTTATCAACAAAATTATCCTTAACTGGTATGGTACAGTATAAGCACCTAGGGCACAGATGTGAAAGAAACTGCAATCACCGATAAACTACGGCGCTGGTTTTGCAATATTTTTTATCATCCAAATTACCATCATAAAGAACTTCGCTTAGTTTCTCTAGGTGGAGGAGAAACAGACACTGTTGGAATCACAATACTGAAATATGGAGAGCTGGTATACGTGATAATTCATGCAAACAATATCTTCCATCAAAACAAAAAAGGAATAAATAAAAGAAGCTGAGGGCAGCTACTTCTGAAATTGCTCTCGGTGCCATATGTAGCTATTGTGGGATGCTTAGAGGGAAAATACATACTAATTTGCCCCCCGAACATCCCGCAATGTCTCTAGAATCAATAGCAATCAAAATGGCCGCGCTATCGGTAAAAAATGTCTATTTAATGTTAATATGATATGGCACGTGATTGTGATCGCGCCAAATTGAAGAAGTAGCAATACAAGAAATGGGAATAAGCAAAACGAGTGAATTTATCCCGAGTAAAAGAAGGAGAACAAATGACCAAGTTGGAAAAAAGTTGGACAAAGTTGTTTACAGCAATATATCTACAATACGCATCAACTACCCCAAAGGGACCAAGGGTAATACGTATATGTCGGAACTTTGAAGTCCACAAACCTAACATAGAACACTATGGAATTTGGCATTGTTTTACCAAACTTCCTTTCTGACCCGCAACGATAATTATATAAGCAAATCACTGACCCAAGTAACCAAACGGTCAACTTAAATCTTCAAGAGCATCATTGTTATGGAAAAAAAAAACCTGTTTTTGCCTACATCCATTATAAATTTTGGTTCGTGATTTTTTTGATGATTTCTCATCTTTGGTGAAAACTGCGGCGTGTTTAAGCGTTTCAATTGTTGTTGTGATAGTCCATTGCCGACGTGAACAATTTCTACTTATACTGCATTATATATCCAGATGAGGTTTCAGGTCTATGTTATTGCCAGCTTGTAGTAAGTATGATGTTAAGCTTTACGTAATATTTGAATGTTGTAAATTATGGTCTTTCTTATTCATGTCGAAATTTCAAATCGTGTGCAAGAATTAACTAATCCGTGTTTTAAACACACCCACCGACAAATTTCTCTGCAATTTTTCATCCTTAAATGTTCGAATGGGTCATATTTTCATGCTATCAATATATTTGTAACCAGGGCAGTGGTCAGATGTCTTTGGTCATCTTCGACTACGAAGGACGAACAACAACAACAACATATTTGTAACCAAGGCCCCATCCACACGTATCCAGATATTTTTGGATCCGCAACTTTTTCTTTCCGGATTCAAAAATTTCCGTCCACACGTAGCGTATTCAAATCGAATTCGCCCGTCCACACGCATCCGATGGTATCCAGATTCACTCTAGAGAAACTAGGCCTACACGCTGTGCCGCCATATTGGTTTACTATTCGGTAAGAGACTGCACACGATTTTGCTACGTGGTCGGATTCGAAAATAACCGGATTCACCGTCCGCAAGGCATCGGAGTCGTTGCAGATCTATTTTTTTTTTCCCACTCTGGAGAGCGGAGTCAAGAATAACCGGATTCGCTGCCGAATTCGCCGGATGCGTGTGGACGGAAGCCGTATCCAGAAAGAAAAAGTTACGGATTCAAAAATATCCGGATACATATGGACGGGGCCTAAAGGTGTATACTTTTTAGAACTTGGATGAAATTTTTCAAGTTACTGAGAAGTATTTCCAAATTTCTTTCTTTCTGTAAGTCACCACCACTAGCCTGGACCCAGTTCGACTCGGCGAAGAATGTCGGAAGATCAGAAACTTACATCGTGTAATAAACAAGAAGACGAGGCAAACTTGGGTCATGAAAATCTTGCACAAGAAATCGGAGATGTTAACTCAGTAGAGGAGCACAATGGGAAGGAGCCGCCAGTACCTGAATTGAAACAGGAGGAAATTGAAGGCGACATTTTGGAAAATGAAGATGAACAAAATTCCGAAAAATGGTGGAATTATGTCCAGGCACTCGTCAAAAACGAAGAGAATGATAATTATGGGAATTTACCCGCCAGGTATTGTGCATATCTTTGTTTCTCTCTGGAACCTTGCATTGAATGAGGCTAAGGAAAGAAAACATAACGAGAAGAAAATTTAACAGGTTGTATTGAATAGCTAGCTGAAACAATCTTTACCTTTCACATCAAATGACAAAACGTTTTTTATTGCCGAGTTGAAAAATCGAAACATACAAAATTTGCGCATGAGTTACTGCTCTGCCGTGCGCAGATCATGATCGCAGAGACCATGATCTGAGAGAATTCATTTCCCTGCTCCATAATAATCTTTTAAAATCTATTTTAAGTTCCGTGTCTCGCAGTGAAAGTTAATTTTAGACTCGGTCGCATGATCGCGAAGCCATGCCCAACTGTAATCGGGTCGCGTCCATTAAGAGACCATGATGCCTCTTGCAGATGGTTAGCAGTGACTGTTGTACGGGTAGGTTGAAGATCTTCGGCAGGTTTTTCGGGCCTGTGGCTACCACTACGTCATCAGCCGACGGACATTATCGAATTAGCTTGACAAACTCTCAAAACTTGATTGAACCATCTTTCTTTCAATACATTTTCTAGTGAACAAGGACTGTCTAAGAAGAGAAAGAAGTCACCCTACTCCAAACTTGAATCAGAGAGTAAAGACACCGAAAAAAGGGTAAGGTTTGCCCAGATTAATGTATGCTCTTCGTTTCCTCTATTTTTAAGGTGATTCCACTGAACTGCTTTGGGCGTCCTTTCTGCGTATAATTTCTCGTTTCAATTAGTGCGTGAGAGCGCGTGCACATAAACAGAATTTTAAAACAGATTTCCTTTAAGCTAAGCTCGATAGAGAAAAAAAATTCTCTTTCTCCTAAACAAGCACAGTGACCCCCACTTTATAATGCATAAGTTTAAATCGCAATTTACATCGCGATTTAAAGAAAAGTAACAAATTCCGCTGAGTTTTTTCTTTTTATTTGAGTGCTATAAAGAATACCTCTTTGGGAAATTACTGGCATCTGCCATGCAGCGAACTTTTTAATCTGTTTCATAACCTTTATTTCTTTTAGATTGAAATAGTTTATAAGGTAAGACCACATTTAAAGTAATAAATAGATTTTTTTT